TTTATTTCATAATATTTATTTTTATTTCAGTTTTAGCAATTTTAGTACATAAGCTTATTTTCTATCAGATGCCAGGAAAACATTTCTAGTTTACTTTTTTTTTCAGTCTAATATTATAATATTTAATAATTATAGTTCTGTTAATAATAACACTATTATGTTTAGTTAAAAATTACATTATTTTAAGTTTTAATTTTAATTTTAGTTTAAGTTTTAGTAATTGTATTATTATTTTTTCTGACATGTTATTTTATTTTTAATATTCCTATTTATATTTAATCTATTTTTACATTTTAGTAGTAATTTTAGTAATTCAACTTATTTTCTATCAGTTAGTTGCCAAGGCAACATTTTCATTTTTCATTTAAGTTTTAAATTAACTTTAAACTTTATTAAATTAAATTAATTAAGCTTTATTCAAATTAACAAAAACAAGACTTAATAGTTTAAATTAAGAATAATATTGATTTTAATTTTATTTTAGTAATTCCTTTTAGTTTTAATTTAAGTTTGTTTTTAGTAATTTTATCTTTTTCAATTTTTTTTTTAATATTCATATTTAGCTTTAATTTATTTTTATTTCAGTTTTAGTAGTAATTTTAGTACTTAAACCCATTTCCTTTAAGTTAGTTGCCAAGGCGACATTTCTAATTCAATTTTTTTTTAACCTAATATTTATATTTTATTTCAGCTTTATTTAAATTACTGCAAACGATTTTCAATGGTTTTAGTTAACAATAACAACAACTGTGATTGTGTGTACAGTAGGTCGTGTGATCTATTATGTGTTTGTTGCTTTTGAATGTAAAAGACAAGATCAGGAAGTGTTTATAATGTGCTAAAAGTAAAATAATAAAATAAAATAATATAAAAAAAAATATAAAATAAAATATTTAAGTATGTAGTATGGTTTTACTTGACATGTTTTGGTATTATGTTATTGCTTTGTAAAGTAACCATAGCCATATATTCTTATTCATATATTTGTTTCATGTGTGTATATGAATGTGTTTTTCCCAACCTTCTTCTGCAGGACGCAGTGAAATATGAAGATGAACATGCCCTGCAGCGAGTTAAAGATGGTGAAGAGGTACGCCATGATCACCGTGCTCTCGTTAACGTACATCAGGCCAAACGCCCAGGTCAGGCCCAGCAGACAGAGCAGCGCGATCGCTCCTATCACCCACGATCTGAAACACACACACACACACACAAACACA